GCCTGAAGTCATTAATGATTACTACAATGTTTTTCTAAACTATAAAGGGTAAGCACTCAAAAATATTTTCTTGACTGAATGATAAACTATAGAAACAAATCTTACTTTAAAGTTTTCTCCAAATTAGTGCCTACTCAACTTAATGACTTACTTGTAAGTCTCAAATCTATCCTATTTAAACTTATTCTATGTTTATCTATCTATGAATACACATAGTTCATTACTTCTTGATAGCATTACTAATGCCTTCTAACCTAACTCTAATGAACCATCGTTTGGCCTATATCAAACAGAGATTCATCTAAGACTGTTCTTGGGCCTGAGTGACATTAACTCACCTACATATCAATCTGTTCTATTTCTTACCCCTTGTGCATAAGTTCTTATGGAACTTAGGGATAGTCCCTGCTCCCAAGGAGATCGCAGTTTAATGGGGGAGACAACAAGAAAATACCTAGATAGACAAGATAAGTTGGAGATCATCAACTATCAGACAGAAGGGACTAGATTAAGGGAGACTTTGAAAGGCTTCCTGCATACGATGGGATTTTAGCTGAGACTTGAAGAAAGCCAGGAGACTGAGACAGGGAAGAAGAGAACTGCAGGCATGAGGGACAACCAGTGAAAATGCCCAGTCAGGAGATAGATTGTGTAAGACACAGCAAGGGGGACAGTGTCCCTGGGTCATAGAGTACATGGGTAGAAAGGCAAAAGAAGATTCTGAATGCCAAAGAGAGGATTTTATGGTTAAGGCTGGAGGTGATACGAAGCCAGTGGGTTTATGGAGTATGGATAGCCTCAAGGCAGGCAGAACCACCAGCAGGCTATTGTAATAGTCTAAATGTGAGATGATGAGGGCTTGTACTAAGCAGGTAGCAGTTTCAGAGGAGAAAAGGAGAAGTGTACAAGAGATGCCAGTAAAGTAAAATCGGTATGTCTTGACCAGGTCACACCTCATTAGGTAACCTGGGGGAAGGGTCACCATGTTAATGCCAGAAATAATGCCACCTAACTGGCATATCCTCAGAACTCCTGAGCTCAAGAGATCCACCAGCTTTACATTCTCTCATAGAGAGATTTATAGGCATGAATCACCACACTTAATCTAAAAATACTTTTATAAAATTATCTGATGTTATGAATTATTCAGCTAGGTGGTACAGTGGATAAAGCACTAAGCCTGAAGTTTGGGAAGACCTGAGTCCAAAGCCAGCCTCAGACACTTATTAGCTATGTGACTGTGGGCAAGTTTGGAGTTTTAACCCTCTTTGCCTCAGTTTCCTCATATGTAAAATTAGCTGGAGAAGGAAATGGCAAACCACTCCAGTATCTCAAAATAATCCAATAAAGACAATAAAAGCATTATTGTTCCACTTTATAGATGAAGAAATTAAGGTCTGGGGTAGATATGGGGCTGGCCCAAGATCAAACAGCAGGCAAACAGAATAACTCATACTTAAAACCAGGATTACTGACACCAAGTTCCTTACACTTTATCACAGCTGCCTTCTTTGTCTAACTCACAGCAGAGCATTTAATCTATTTTAAGTGAATGTATATGATTTTAATGGGGAGGGGAGAGAATAAGGAAATTTAATTTCAGAAGAAATTGTAAATGCTGTTTTTATTTTTAATCTACTTATATTTTATATTGAAATGACATAATATTAAGTCTTCTGGTAACTAGTGAGACTTAAGGTCCTGAATTGCTTTCCTTTGATGTCCATTTTTCTCATCTTAAAAAAAAGAAGGTCCCGTTTCTGATACTATTTTATTTCCACATTACCATTTGAAAAAGAAAATCTGAATATTTATGTTTTAAGATTATGTTTAGCAGTGAAAATTAATTTCTTCATCTTTCAAAAACCAATCATTTTAGACTGTGAAGATTGCCATCTTTTTAAATGGTATGCTTGCTGCGTGTAATACGTGCTCTTCAATTTTAGCAAAGTGCTTCCAAAACTGGTTATTTGCAAAATGGAAATTTTCCTCAGGATAGTAACCATATATATATATACAGTTTATCCATGGACATTTCACAGGCCCTCACAGAAATGTGTAAAAAAAATTTTTTGGGGGAAGAGCAAATGGTCTAAATTATATACTTCTGAAATCCCTGGCTTTGACAAAGTCTAATTTACTTTTGTTAAATTGATTTAGAGTTTGTAAAATGTTAGCCATCAGGTCTGAGAGCAAAACTAACACTAGACTGTAGTAGTAATAGACAGTATTTATATATTAGCGTTGCTTCTTCTTCACTAAATATAATAAATGGCCTTCTGAGAAATGGAAAGACACCTCCTTTCCACAGAGTTTGAGGTTAAGGGGGAAAAAAACAGCCTATAAAAATCGCAGGTAGAGTTACCAAAAGAACTGCCAAGAATTAAATTACCTCAAACTAAGAATCAAATCATGAATTAACCTTAGTTGAAATCCACCCATCAAGGGCAATGTTTCCTCAGTTTCATCATTCCTCCTAGTACTACTCTGTCAGGAACAGAATTGAAGGCACTTATCTCCTCCAAATATGTGCAGAATTTTTTTTGGTTCTGTAAATGTACTGTATTCATTTGCATTTTTATTCTAATAAGATCTACTTGATGTCTTTGATCAATCAACAAACTTTTATTAAGTACTATTTATAGCCCTATTACAGACTGTAAATACTTAAAATACTTCAGTAATTTTAAGTAGCCTGCTTTTTTATAAAGAATGTAGATTTTTAAGCTATCATGAAAGGCAAGTGAATTAAAGAAAAATGTTTTTAAAAAGTGACTAGATTAAAAGGAAAAAGACAAAATGAAATGATAGGTGTCTTAAATAACACATATATAGTACTTCTCTTTGACATAGCATTATTTCACCTGATCACCTAGAATACAGAGGTCTTCTAAATAAAATTGCATTGCATTCTCAACCCCTCAGAGAGTCAGTTTAGTTAACAGCCTACTTGTGCTTCAGAGTTGACCACACATCTTACATGTCAAACTCATTTTAAAGTGCCAATCATGTCCCTTCCAATCTAATTAGTTTGGGAAGTAATGTCACTGACCTAGAACTATGCAGACAGCTTATTATCATATCATTTGATCAACCTAACACTTTAACTCAGTTGAATTTAGAACACCGGTAAGCAAAGTGTAATATAGTTTCTTCCAGTTCATTACTGGTAATTCTCAACACAATTTCCTATTTGTGAGTAAAACCCACCCTGACAAATGAAGAGTGCTCAGCTTTATACAGGCATCACAGAGGAAGTAATTATTTAGGTTTTAATAGAAGTTGAAAAAGAAAGTTAGAGGAAATGAGTAGATAGCCAATGTAATTTGATATAGACCTTAAACTAAAAAGTACCAAGCACTACAGGAAGAGGAAGGCCTAGAAGACAAAGGTATACCAGAGAGGGATACATATGAGCAACGATCCATATGGGTCCCCAGTCTGGAAAAAAAAAAGCTACTTTTGTAGGTAAAACAACAAATATTTCAAAAGTAGTTATACTAGTAAAAGGGAATAAGTTGTTATCTAATATTATTTATGATTAATTAAGGATTTTTAAATTAAGTCCTAGTGTTAAATCTACAGAATCTCAGAGACGGAAAGGATGTTAGAAGTCATCTAGTACAACTTGTACCTGTATAGGACATTATCCAATTTACACCATTTTCAACAAATAATTAAACAGCATACACTTCAAGACCTCTAGTGATGGGGAGTCTTTTGCGGCAGCCGCTAATTCTGGACAACTCCAACTGTTACAAAAAGTTTTCCCTTATAGCCAACCTAAATCTGCCTCTCTGCCAACGTACCCTCATTTCTTGGATTTCTGCTCTCTGAGGCCAAGCAAAGACAGTCTAATTCCCTTCCACATAACACCTTCCGAAATACTTGAAGACAACTATCCTGTCCCCAGGTCTTCTCCAGCTAACTACCCCGAGTGCCTTCAGCTAGGAACTTTGGGCCTGCTACAAGATTGGGGCAAGCACAGCTACAATGGGAAGGCAGTCAGCAGAGATGAAGAGGAATTAGGATTAGCTGAACTCAACAGGTGATAATTAAGTCCACTGGCCATGGCAGTGGAAATGAAAGATTAGGGGAATATTTGGTAATTCTAATGCATCTGAGTGGGAATACCCGGAGGTATTCTAGTAAACAACATACAATTAGCAAGATTTAGAGTTGATTATAAAGTGGGTACATAGATGAAGTTTGGTGTAGTGAATACAGAACCAGCTTCAAAGTCAAGATCGGGATTCAAAGACTGTCTCTGACACATATTGGCTATAAACCCTGGGAAATCACTTAACCTCCCAGTTTTCTAGCTAATTGTCCAAGACTCTAAGTTGCAGAGTAGATAACTGACCTGCTTTAGTAAAGGGAAGTGATCCCTTCCAGTACCAATAAAATCACAAGTCTAGTTCCTGTGTCTATTCTATATAAGTTATTTAAATAATATATGTGGTTATGTATTAATTAAAGTGATAGTGAGAGTAACAGGAGTCATTTATATAGGGTGTACTAAAAGTCTTAGGGTAGTTTTAAGCTTTAATAGCCTAAAACTACACTAATATTTTAAGTTTTAGGCTATTAAAAGTTTTAGATTATGGAGTTACTCTTCACTTTCAACATTTACCTCTAGAAATGATGAATGTTTAAAAGTAAGAAGTCAATTGTCACTTTGTTAAAATATTTCATGATTTCCTATGGGGAAGCTACTTTGTGTTTTGTCCTAATTTCTATTTTTCTCTGAAAAACAAGTAAAATTAGAAAAGCATGGGCAGAGGAATCAAGACAGTTGGGTTCTGGTCCTGGCTTTGACATTAACTTCTGTACTTCATTTTAGGTGGAAAATGAGTAACTAGACCAGATCATCTTTAAATTTCTTTCCTGCTAGAATTCTATGATGACTTTAGTTATGCTTAATTGCTTCTGCTGCTATTAACAAGAATGAGCTGGAATTAGTATCAAAAATTTAAAAATCTACACAGGACTTAGCTTACCTTCAGGTGATGAGCCTGGTTTTTGAGAAAAGACAGCGCTTACTTTACTCTTCTTGCTCATGTCACTGTTTACAGACAAGCTGGACTGAATTTTTTTATGCATTTTTTGTGAAACAGGCGCAGAAAGTTTTCGGTTATCTATAGATACATGTCTAACCCCATTGTGGATTCCATTCCCATTTCTCAGATTTGTATGACCATTCTTTATCTTGCCCATTTCCTCCTCACTTTGTTCCTGTGCTGAAGTCTGGGGCTCAGGCAAGCGTTGAGGTTGTGCTAAAATGAAAAAAAAGAAGAAAATTTTAACGTGGCAGAAATCTAACGTTAGGAAACAACGTTTTCTAATACATATTTCAAATGGCAGAGGAGAGAAATTATTGAAAAGGACTAGCAAAATCCACAAAGATATATTTGAAAAGTAGGCATTTAACAAACACTTCTTGACTGGTCGACTGGTAGGACTGCCAAATATGACACACAGGATAGAACTATGAGTAATGGAATAATTTTTAAAACCATATGGAAGCTGAATTTTGATAATAGAAAGTTTTCGACCATGGAACTATATTTCAACATAAGTCATGGAGGAAATAATCTAGGCCTTAAAAAAGAGACAACATACTTTAAAATATCCTATTGGAAAAAATTATGTGCTGGACGTGTGGAATGAAAGAGATTTATAAGATAAATCTTATAAATATTTCCCTCCTTAAATTCTCTGTTTTCATGCTAATAACCATGGATAAGACAGTAGAATGTAAGCTACTTGAAGGCAGGTGCTATTAGTTTTTTTTGATTCTGTATCCCCAGTGTCTAGCAGCTAAATGGTACAGTGGATACAGCACCTCAGATACTTAGAAGCAGTATGACCCTGGGCAAATCACTTAATCCTCTTTGCCTCAGTTTCCTCCATAAATTTGCCTTACAGTTTCCTGTAAAATGATCTGGAGAAGGAAATGGCAAACCACTCCATTATCTTTGCCAAGAAAACCCCAAATGGGGTCACAATGACGTGACTGAGCAGCATGGACTTAATAAATTTCTGTTGAATTGAATTTAGTTGAGGGAGCATGTGATGGCCAAGTCTGGAGTCAAGTTCAAATCCTGCCTGTTTTTTATGTCATGTGTTATTATATCATTATTATATTACATTGTGATGTGTAAAATACTTAACCCTCAATTTCGTCATCTGTAAACTAAGGGGGCAGAACTACTAAGTCATCCAAAAGGTCTTTACTCATTGTGACTCTATGATCCTAGGATTTCCTTGGAATGAACAAATTAGATCATGTTCCTTTTAAAATCTGGACAGTAAATTATTATTAGACCATCAGCTTCATGAGATCAGGGCCCCATGCCTTACTTAAATTTTACATTTTCCTATCTACCTAACACAGTGTTCTATACCTAGTAGATGCTTAATAAATGTTTGCTGAACTGAAAATGTATAAATTTTCATTTTTTAAAATGGCATAATATAAAATGCAATAACATAGTAATTCACAATAAAAATAAATGAAATAACAGTAATTAACAGGGATTTACCAAGACTCAGTTTAAGTCTTCAAGAGTATCTGTGATAAATATTTTCACCACCAATGCAGACTGCAGTCCTTAGGTGACTCAATGGATAGACAGTCTTTAAAAGTTTGTTGCTGTTTAGTAATTTTTCAGTCGTGTCTAACTCTTCGTGACCCCATTTGAGGTTTTCTCGGCAAAGATACTGGAGTGGTTTCCATTTTCTTCTCCAGCTTATTTTACAGATGAGGAACTGAGGCAAAGAAGGTTAAGTGACTTGCCTAGGGTCACACAATAAGTGTTTGAAGCCAGATTTGAACTTAGGAAGACTCACTGCCAGGCTTGGCACCTTATCTACTGTGCCACCTACCCACTGCTATAGCCAAAAAATTAAGCATCTTGCAGTCAACCTGGCAATGAGCTTTGCTGAATTTAGTGAGGCTGAATCTCAGAAAATGGATATGGACTTTTATCAATAGATGCATACTTAAAGACTTTCCAGACTGGTAAAAGCTGCCAGAGCTTACACTATTGATGAAATAGCTTTCATCTTCTAGGCCACAATAAAGCAGCAAAATAGGACTTCAGTGAAGAATGAACTAAAATATAATAAATATCCAAGACAGGGCCTAATTTTAAGTGAAGGAATAATTTTATAACATCATATTTTGTCTCAGTTATTGTACACATACCAAGTGATCCTTGAATATAAATGCTTTCACTATACAAAAAAAAAAGTTTATTTGCACAGTGTAAATTCCAAGGAAATTTATGCCTCATGATTTTTTCAGTTGACAAATGAAAGATGATACCCAGAAGTTTTTTCAGACTATTTTTATTAGCAGCAATGATCAATTGCTTTCTAAAGCAAGGAATCCAATTATCTAAAAAACTTGTTACTCACTTTAGCAATAATATTCAATATCAGTAACATAAAAGTATTACAACTCTTTATTTTTGTTCTGACAGTGTCTCATATTTTTAAAAATTACTTGCTCTTCTGACAATTATACATGCCCTCTCAAAGCCATAAAGCAAAATCAAGGCTTCTGTAGAAGGAATTCTGTTTCTTATGAGTGTGCATTCCTTTAATTTGGTGATTAATTTGCTGCTCACATAACCTCTCGTATCGACTAGAATAACATCCTGTTGACTCCTAGGAGCCTAACATTAGGAATGCATATGTATTGAAAAAAAAAATGCTAGAGACAGTTAAACCCAATCTAGTACCCTTCTCATTTGGGCTCAAGGCAAATAAAATATTTTGGTCCCACTTTTCACCAGTAATAGCAGTTCATAGAAGAGAACTGTGCAAAGAATGCACACTGTCCACTTCTAAGAAGATAGCTAAGCTCCTAAACAATTTCTTGACATGTGCTACAGGCAAATTAAATAAAGATTCCTAAGTAGTAAACAATCTCAACGATAAAAACAAGAACACCAGAAGATAATTCTATACCTAAAAAATAAAGTTCTTAAAACTGACAGATCTGACCTTTCCCCAACCACCTAAATTAGTTTAATTTGTCAAGCCATTGTAGTAATACCTTAAACCATACTTACATCTTCAAAACCATCAAAAATACCATAAATCATACTTACATCTTCAAAACCATCAAAAATACCATAAACCATATTTATATCTTCAAAACCAACTAAAATACTCTAAACCATACTTATAAGTTTAAAACAGCATCTATTTCTATTAGTGAGTCTGCAAATGGGCAACCTCAAAAAAAATGACAGTCTTAATTCTTTCTTGTTTCATATTCAATTCATTATGGGGGTTTTTTTGCAAATTTTATTATTAATGTCTATCTAACCCCTAAGTACTAAAAACAAAAAGTATTTCATTTCAGCATTTTAACACACAACTTTTTGGCTGAATGATTTTGCCAGTCATACAAGGCATACAGGTCAAATCAAAACTGGATGAACCCCCAAATGTATTAGTCATCTCCATTTAAATTTATTTTGGCTTTATTGATAATTTTTCACAAAGGAGAATTGAATCTTGTGGTTAAATTGCTCTTGAATTCAATTAGGAAACATATAACTATTTTCTAGCAAAAAGAACAAAAGTACCTGACAGAAAATTAAGCCACAATAATTTGGTCTAAAATAGAAATATTTTTCACCTTATTGTATAAAGGTTGTGTATAGCTTTAAAAAAAAGGTAATATGGGGAATGACACAATGCTTCTTAAAACACAAGTGATGCCTAGGGACCCTCACTCTCCCTTTAATGATCCACTGCTCTCATTCAGCTGTCTTTCTTTTTTCAAATCTTTACATATGTGACAGCTCTCAAAAGTAGACCATAGACCATCTGGCATTTTCAGAGGTGTAACTTGTGCAAATTCAGCTCTACTGGGAGCACAATGCTATCTTCTGCCTGCGTTATAAAAGGTACAATAGAATGTAGAACTTATGAGTTGTTTTGAATTATTCATTTTTTTTGCCTGTATATTCAAGAAATTTTACAAACTCTGCATTTTGTACTACATAATCACATGCGTTAAAGGTACAAAGAAACTTTTTGACACCTCTTTTCTACAGAAAGCTGGCATTTTGTTTGATATGTGAACATTCAGCATCTGTTATATCATTCTAAACAGACCGTATGCTTCTACAAAAGACCCCATTTTAAACTCTCTCTGTATGAGCAAAAAAATGTATTCTTGATATTCAGTAACGAATGCAATACACATCAAAATTTCAAATACAAGTTATACGAACATTCAGCATCTTCAAACCTGGATAGCATTGGTCACCCGCTTACCATATGTTTAAAGATTTTTTTTAATCACTCCTCACACTACACACAGCCTGACTGTAATTTCAATATCCATGATGAATACTTACAAATGTCTTAGGAAATACTGTGCTTTCTAAGTTCAGATGTTTTCAATCTAGGGAGAAACCAACAGATTTAGGTCTAGTGATTTTCAATAAGAATGATAAATATTGGAGTAATGATTCAATAGCATGAACCTCTTTTGATAAAAAAAGAGAAGATGGTGTAGCTAGTAACAACTATACAAGAATCTGCTGCTTCTGAAATAGCAATAAAAAAGCAATATATTGCTATTGCATATAATCTATTAATGTACCAATGATGTTCAGTCACAGGTCTCTTTACAAAAGTAAGACTTAATAAAATTACAAAAATTTCCCAGGCTTTTTAGCCAATTTCCATGGTTATTTAATTGTATACATATGCAGTGTCATAAAATTAAATGGTTATAGATTTAAAATTTACAATAAAGAAGATAAATGCACATTGAAACACATAAGAGAAAGTATGGAAATTAGAGACTTTAAATTAACCAATAAACAAGTATATAATAAGAACATACTAGGTGCTCAGCACTTTGCTTTTATGGTCAATATGGAAAAAGGTTACAGGAAATAAATACATGAAAAGGAATAAACTGTTTCAACGCATACCAATATGATATGTTTTTCTGCTTAGTATAAGATTATATAACTTAGTGTTTGCTCTACTGAAAACCTGGAGGCACCTACCTCCATAAATGTGATTAGTTTAAGCTGCCTTACCTGTAGCAGACCTCTTTCATTTTCACTATACCACAATCTCTCAAGAACAAGTATGTCAGTTACCAAGAGTAGTTTCTCCAATCTATTTTTTTTTTGTAATGGCTTGGATAAAAATTCTTATCATGTCCTGATCAGCTCTGGCTTGGAACTTTCAGACCAATACCAATTCACTAGGCACCCAGAGTTTCATCCCACCC